ACGAGGTGCCGCTCGGCGCCGGGTCCGGCAGGTCGAGGCAGTGCGGGCCCGGCCCAGGGGCAGGCGGAGGAGCCCTGGCAAGGGGCCGAGCTCCTTGGTTGCTTTCACGCCCTCCCCCTCTGCTCGTTGCCAGCGTCTGTGTGACGTGCGATCGGGAAGGGTCAGCTCTGCTCTGCTGCCTGGGAAACCGAGGCACAGAGAGATGCGGCGAGGTGGCCGCGGTTACGCGGTGCTTGTTGGTGGCGCTGGGACCCAAACTCAGGTCTTTCTGCGTCGCTGACGATCGTGTGGATTGCCAGGTTGCTTTCCTGCCCTGTCCCCCAACCAGCGATGCCCACAAAGACTAGTCCCGCGCCGTCCAGGCTGGGCCCTTTGAGTTCTCCCTGACCTTGGTGCTGACGTGTGTTAGGAAAGGTCTAATAGAGTCCGGTTCTTCCCCTTTACAACGAGCGTGACCAGGTTAACAATCACGAGATGTCACATATTGCCTGGTCTGCTGCCGAATGGACTCAGGGAAAAGGACAGCTTCCTAAGCGCTGCCCGAGCTCCTCGCCACGTATGCTGTCGTGTTAGGTTGCATTTCAGATTTGGACAGCGACAGCACTGAAGTCGGTTTCACGCATCTATGCTCAGTTTCGCCTTGTAATACACGAGCGGTTTGGGTTCAGTCCTGCAGAGGATTCATCTGTTTTTGTTTGAGTATGGAGATTAGCGGAAAAGTTGAAACACATCAGCACATCCCCTTGACTTTAAACTGGAGCCTGTCACAGGGACTTCGCTGCTTGTTTCAGTAGGTAAAACCTGCAGTGCGTCATGGCCAGAGATCCTGGTTTTCCCTGATTTAAAAAAAATCCCCAATTTTTAGTTTATAAAAAGTAACCCTAAATCCACATTTTCCTGTGATTTAAAATGAAACATCACTAATGTATAGATATCTCTATAGTGGCGTTGCATTTTTATCGTGGAAAAATGTGGATTCGGGGTGATTTTTTTTAACCGAAAATTGGGGATTTTTTTAAATCGGAGGAAACCAGGGTCCCTGGTCTTGGCACATGAAGGTAGAAGGGGGTGTGTGTGTATAAGTGTTGACAATAACGTTGGGAAAAAATAGTATTAGACTTTTCTGGAGCATAAGATGGACTGATCCATATGGTGCAATTTGCTCTTTCAGCTGTACGCAGCTGCTCAGATTTAACCCAGGGACTGGATGTACTCGTGTCGCTTTTAGAGAAATGCCATCCTAACATCTGGTGAACGTAGTGGGGCTCATGTCTGTGCTGCTGTTGTAGGTCCAGCGAGATCTGAACGTCGCCATTGCAGAATTCACTGAATTGAAGCAGCAGTTGGAGCGCGACACACTGATTCTGAGTGTGTTGAAAAAGCTTCAAGAGGTAAGAAGGGGATAGCTTCAGAGCCCGACGGTTGTCTTTACCTCTTGCTTCCCTGCTCTGATTTCTTTGTCTGTTACCCTTAAACGGCTGCAGCAGTTCTGTCTCTAGTCGGGCTGTTTTCTGAAGTGAGCTATGATTTGAGGACAGATACTTATTTGTGTTCAATGACATCTCATTCCTACAGTTTGATACTGCTATTAAAGACTATAACGCCGCGCTGCAGGAAAAGAAGTATGTTGTTGCAGCTCAGCAGCTGGAAAAGGTAATATGCCTCCCAAGTGTGCAGAATGAACTTGCTGGTGAATGTTTTCAGTAAATACCCAACGATTCCCATTGTCGAAAGCTTACGTGCCATTGGAGCGAGCACATTGCCTTGCGCCCACACTATGTATATAGCTATCTCCGTTTTCCTGCTAGGCACGGAGTAGTCTGAAGCTGCTGGAATCTCGCAAAGGCTTTGAGCTGAAGATCCTGAAAGCGCTAGGCATGGAGCTCACGGTGCAGACCCAGAACATGCTCTATCAGCTGGGAGAGGAATGGCAGAAAATGGTGGTGTGGAAGCTTCCTCCTTCAAAAGGTGCTTATTGTTTGGGTTTGTTTTGGTGGCTCGGGTGTGCCTGGCAAGAAAACTGAGTCCAAAGAAGCTAGCGAAGATGCTGAATTGCGTGGTTTTAGGTAGCTCTGCCTGCCTCGACGGCACATGTAATTGAACAGGCAGACCAGAGGCAGCTTATGTAGACTTTTGCTCTGTGTGGAAGCATCTTGGGTGTTTTGCAGGCAGTTTGAAGCATGCAGCAGCTTTTAAATTTTACTTTAAAGGTTTCTTTTGGTCCATTCAGAAATAGACGCGGGAATGACGCCAAAAAGAACAGGGTACTTCCCACCGTTTCCTTTCCAAGTTTTGATGCTGTCATTTTCCCCATGTCTCCTGTGACATGGTTGTGGTTCAGACGCACCTCAGAACCAGCTGGGGCAGTGTCAGATTGAAGGGTTTGGGAAAGCGATGCAGCCTCTCAGTTGGGATTGGTCTCTGAAATTTTAGGTCAGTGTAAAAAAACTCAGCTGGCACAGACTTGTTCTGCTGGTTACACCCAGCTTCCTCAGGTTCATTGGGGCACTCCCGTTCTAGGGCTGTCAGACAGTGGTGGAGTAATGAAGCGTTGTTTGGAATGAACTTTACAATTAGGGCGGTGAATAACGTAGGGAGGATAATTTGCTGCCAATTTATTTAAGGTAAAGTTTGGAAGTAGGTTGTCAGATGACGACATAGGTCATTTTGCAAAACTACTGGTAGTTGGAACTGTGGCTGTCAGGGTACCAATTCATTAGTACATGGGCTGTTATTGCTTCTAGAATACATCATGAGGCAAGTCCCTTTGCAGCTATGCAATCATATGTCTCTGCGCAGATCAAGCCTTGGCTGGGCAGGATGACGCAGGATTGTTTTCAGTTCAGTCATGTGAGGCAGAGCTCACCTGAATGGAGATTCATAGATTGTAAGGCCAGAAGAGACCTTGGAAAATCATTGGGTCCAGCCCCCTGCACCAGGCAGGAAAGATAACTGGGGGTCAGGTAACCCCAGAAGGTGACTGTCTAGTCTCCTCTTGAAGATTTCCAGGGGAGGTGATTGCACCACTTCTGGAGGGAGCTTATTCCACAATCTGGACACCCTGACTGTGAAAAAGTTTTTCCTAATGTTGAGCCTGAATCAATCTTCCAGGAGTTTGTGGCCATTGCCACTGGTTTTCCCCCCAGGTGCCCTGGTGAACAGTTGCTCACTAAGCCCTTGATGTACTCTCCTAGTCCTGGATGTACTCCCCTGAAGGAGATGCACCCTTCTGGGAGGCCTGTCATTCACCCTTGGTTTTATAACTTGTACCTAGCTGTAGCTCCTTAGACATCCCAAAGTCCAAACAGTTGTAGGTTAGTTAGCCTTGCAAATTCATCGCAGAAGCTTGCCAGCCTGGGCATAAGATCCACTGATGTTGGTGGTGATAATGAGCACAGTAATGATCCTTTTGTGCCTATAGTTGGAATTTTGGCAGGGCTCTTTAAATACCTAAGACAGTAGGGCATTTGCAGGTTAGTGTGCTTGTTAGCTTTTATAAAAACAAGCTCCTGACCTCGTTGGCGTTGTCTTAGGGAGGGAGAAGACAGTCAAGAAGGGGCTAGGTGGCCCAGCAGTTGAAATGAGAAACCTTTGCTTGAGAATTGCAATTAAAAAAATAGCACAAACAGCATGCTGCTGAGCCAGAGATGGGAGCCAGGTACCCTGGAGGTGGGTAGCATCAAACTCTAATTCAGATGCAGAGGTCATAGAAAAGGGGAGGTGGAAAGTGGGCAGATAAGGTATCACGTCAGCCTCCAGTGGGGCTCCTGGGCTTTTTTTGGAGTCCCTGACCTAGTGCATGTTGTAACCATTGTGGTTCTGCTCTTTCTCCTTAGAGCTCAGCAGCCTGGAGTCGGTGAGGCAGACAGAGCTGCACTTGTGCACAAAGCTGCTAAAGGAGGAGGAAATTGCTGATTCACCTATCACTTCTGTGCTCCAGGCTTTTGCCATCCTAGGAGAATTGCACACCAAGATTAAATTTTTTGGTAAGTCACAGACTTGTGTGAACTGTTGGAAGGTGCTTTGGTGGGAATGGAGCTGATGGCAGCTCATGGGGTATGGGATTGTTCCAAGAGGCTGTTGGAGCAGGGCTCAAAAGGGACAAGGTGAGGAAGGAGGCATACAGTTGCTGGCCTGGCCGATCAGTCGGACAATCCAGCAGTTTTCTTGCTAGGTGAGCAAAACCAGCCGCTACCTCCCCTTCTCTGGGCATGGTGTTGGTCTCCTGGACCCCGTACCCAGCAGGTCCTCATCTCACACCCAG